TCTCTGTCTTTTAGTGATATATGACTATAAATATAAAATATTAAGAACTGAAAGAAAAATGATATCGATTTGGAGAGTGATTGACAGTAATGAAAAAGCAGAAGCCATTTAGGAAACAAATGGATTAATTTAATTGTAGAGAACTAATTTTGTTATTTTATTTTGTTCTATTTTGGTTTGGAAAATAACTCCAATAGAATAGTACATAGCAAATTATAGAAGAATAAATATTTTAAAAGTATATAATACGAATATTTCTAGTAAAGATAATACCTCAAAGTGTTAAAAAAAGATAATTGGCTCCTAAATTAACAAAAGAGTACAGTAATTTAAATTAGAGGGAAATCTAGTAGCCCAAAAGTAGATGACGATAATCTAAATCATTTTTTAACAATTTCTGCATCAGTGAAGTGTTCTCTATTTTACCCATGATTGTGAAAAACAAAATAGAAATATAAGTTCTGATTCTGGTAACAACATGAGGACATGAATAGTCCCATATATTGATGAGGCAAATTATTGCTGTGGCTTTCATGTGATGTATCTTTAACATAAAAAGATAAAAATTAGCCTATTACCTAGCATTCTTCCCAGAAAATCTACTTTTGGGAATTTAGCATATAGAAGTAAGTAAGAAAATATATGAAAATAGACTGATAGAAAGAAATGTGTACATGTGTATATACATTATATGTGTATGTATCAAGAGATAAATAGATACATATTACAACATTAGTTTGCTGAAGAGATACTGGTGAAACTTTTAATGAATAGCAATGTTTATTACTAAAAAATCATTAGGGTGGTTTAAATATTACATAATACAATATTACGAGAATATTACAAGAAGAAGTAATTGAATCTGATATATCATTTTTTTAAATCAACCAACCAATAGCTCAAGAATAATTTGAGATGTATGATTTTGATAAAAGCAGTAATGTGCTCTCCATGTATGTGTGTGTGTGCATTAATGGTATGGAAGGGACCATACCATATTGGTCACATTTGTTAAAGAATGTGTGAATAGGGAATTCAGTGTTAGAAACTCTAGACTAAACTATATATTATGTGTATTGTTTAAATGTTTACAGAGAATATATTTCTATAGCTATAGATATTGAAATAAATTAATATATGAAATATAGGAATAAAAGAAATAAAATCAGAAGAAAAGTAAACAGGAAAGCAAAAAGGCTTTAAAATTTTTAAAATTATTATAATGATAAACAAATAAGTTTGGTTCTGAATTCTGCACCATTTAAAAAAAATCACTTTGAAAGTCATAGGAAGTTCTTTTAAAAATAATAATTCCATCATAAAGTGGTCATTTCCTCTCAACTATTTGAGTAAAAATTTAAGCATGTATACTGCTCTTTTAAAATATATACCAGGGCTGGGGATGTGGCTCAAGTGGTAGCGCGCTCGCCTGGCATGCGTGCGGCCCGGTTTCGATCCCCAGCACCACATACCAGCAAAGATGTTGTGTCCGCCGAGAACTAAAAAATAAATATTAAAAAATTCTCCCTCTCTCCTCTCTCTTTTTTTTTTTAATATTTATTTTTTAGTTCTCGGCGGACACAACATCTTTGTTGGTATGTGCTGAGGATTGAACCCGGGCCGCACGCATGCCAGGCGAGTGCGCTACCGCTTGAGCCACATCCCCAGCCCTCTCACTCTCTCTTTAAAAAAAATAAAATAAAATAAAATAAATAAAATATATACCAAAAAATGTCTTTAACCTACACAGAATTTTCCTCAAAATATATGTTAGAATGCATTCATACTTATATTGATTTCAAATTGAATTAAAATGTAGGGATAATTAAAAGTTAACAATGTACTGGTTGCTAAGTTCGATTCATACAAATCGGGTAATAATAGAGCATTTGAAATACATCATCATCTTAAGTTATGTTTCTTCCAGTTAATGACTTAAATATTATAATGTGTTAAAACTACATATATATAATATATATATATATATATATATATATATATATATATATAATATATTATACTACCTATTTGCTCTTTATATTTAAAACATTTTAAAGCTAAATGAAATTCTTCCTTTCAAGAAACACAAGTAGCTATGTTCTTAACTGATTCAGTTCATAACCCCATCTAGAGATACTGGGGCTTCCACATTGCTTTCTCCCCATATATCCTCCCTAGGTACTAAGATTGTAGACAGTAGAAAGCTAAAGGGGAAATGTAGAACCACATAGATTCATATGATACAAATTTATTCTACTCACATCTAGTCTCAGTGACAGATAAAAGGAGAACTGAGTTGCTGTTCTCTTGTACACCTTTCCCCAAAGTGCTGCATATCAACATTTTTAAAGGCAATATGTTGACAGGATGTTTTTTTAAGGTAACATGTTGATAGGATAATTATTAAAAGTATAAAAGTAGAGCAAGTATCTAAAAGTAAATCCTGGAGGCTGTCAGAACACTGTTCTCCTTCCTAGTCATTTTATTTCACAGACCTTGCTGATATGAATTCCTGGGCCTGGCTATTCTGATCAGGAGACATGACTTTCCCCAATGTACCTCCTCACCACCTACACTCCACAAAGAAATCCAAGTATCCACAGATCTCAGTAAAAATAAAACACAGAAATCACTGTGTTGGTTCATTTTAGATATGAGAAAATATGAACTCAAATAGGTGAAATATCTTCCTAAAAGTTACATCTTTAGTCCATTCGGGCTGGTATCACAAGCTTTTATACACTAGGTGATTGAAAAAGAACAATAATTTATTCATCATTGTTCTGGAGGGTAAGAAGTCCAAGACCAAGTCTTTGTGGAGGGTATCTTCTTATGTTCATGCATGATATGAACATGATCAATATCAATGATCAACCACTCTGGAGTCCCTTTTTAGAATACCAGGGTTTCTAAGCACCAGGAACTCAAACTTTCGAAATCTCCATTTCCACATAGCATCCAACTGAGGATTAGCTTTCAACTTATGAGAGTTTTTATAAAGTAACATAATAGGACACTTAAAAAATTTGACATTCTTTTTATAATTTGAGGTAGAGATACACACAGAGACAGGGATTTTAAGAGAATTGGCTAATATGATTTACAAGTGTAAAGTTGTTGCAGCCTGGTAGCAAGCTGAACTTTAAGTCTGAAAGCTGTCTAGCGGGACTGAATTTATTCATTTGGGGGATCTCAGTCTCTCTCCTGAAGCCTTCAACTCATTAGGTGAGACTGACTGCCATTGTGGAGAGTAATCTGTTTTACCCAATGTCTACTGATTTAAATGTTAATAGAATATAAAAAGCATCTTCACAGCACCATCTGGTATTTGAACAATCTTCTAGGTACCATAGCCTGCCCATGTTGATCCACAAAATTAACAGTTACACTAAGTTGCAAATGTAAGAAGCATGACTGGGAACTGAAAACTGTTGAGCACAGAACCCACTGGTAGAAACTGAAAGAGGAGGGAAAGGGAGAAGAGGGACATACACAGGCCAACTAATTAGATTGCAATAGGAAAGCAAAGTAACAGATCCATATAAAATGCCATGGGAGCTGAGAATAGGAAGTGAATAATTTTACCTGAGGGGAAAAAAAAAAAACAAAAAACAAAGGAGGGATGCATCTATGCTCAGGATAACTTTCACTCATCTAGATATTTGGCCCAGAAGAGCAATAGCTAAAGTCAGGAAGAAATTTAAAGAGATGTGTGAAGCTCCACTTTGGGGCTCATGTGGAACTTGTTCTAGGCTCAGGTCCAAAATATTTGCAAACTTAAACTCAAATTCAATTTTATAGTGAAACCTAATATGCACTGGGATGTGTCTTAGTTTGAGACACTGCCTTAAAAAATCTCTTTCTCCCAGAAAGATTTTTATTTTATAAGCATTATATATGCCTATTTGTTTGATTAAATGTGTGCAGCTTTTGGAAGGCTGGTTTTAACTGCTTTAGACCATGAGTTATTCAGTTTTTCCATCTGCAATTTTCATAGTAGAATCTTTGCTTCAGCATATCACAACATTTTGTTGTTGTTGTTGCAGGATTTTGGCAGCTAGATTCACTCTGAGCACAGTGGGCTGTCTTTCTTCAGCATACTGCATTAGAGAAATGGTTCTACACCCTGAGGGTTTTTTGGAGTTTCTTTGTTCAGAAAAGAATCGAATCACATTCCTGAAAGTAGATCTATTTCTTTCAAGACTTAGTTTAAATGATCATTGACAAATCAAGCTAGACACTAATTAGCTCTCCTATTGAAATTAATGTATTTTATAGGTATTAAAGTGAATAGCACAGGAGACCCAGTGTCAATCTAGATTTCATGAAGGAATGTTACATATTATATAACCACTGAATATTGGCAAAAGTTTCTAAGGTTCTATCTCATCCTGATCTATTCTCCTCCTTGCCGGTTACGGTTGGGCCACACTGGCCACCTACTTCCTAGATCTCTTTTCCCATCTGTAGGCCTTTTTACATCTTGTTCCATTGGATCTGGAAAACTTGGTCTGTTTCTGCCAGGACTGGGATCTCCCCATCTGAAGTCTTAACATCTATTTTGCTGCTTCTATCTTTGGCCATCTCATCTACTGCAGCTCTCTGATCACTCATTTCTCATCTCTGGCCCACTACCTTCTATCAAACAGGCTCTTTATTTCCTTCAATGTCTATATCATAATCTTAAGCTATTTTTCTTATTTGATTACCCAAAGAGGGGCTATTTTCCACAGTAGGAACTTAACTTCATTGGTATAAGAAACTCGTCTGTCTTAACAGCTGTACCCTTAGCCCAAAATATAACCCAAATTCATGCTTGGAGACGAAATGCTGGAAAGAAAACAATGTGTTCCTGAAAGCTGAACAAAATGCAATTAAAAGTAAAGTTCTTAGAAAACAGGTGAATAATAAGATTATTGTTCCTGATTTATTTCACATAAAGTACCAATGATAAACATCAAATTACAAAGTAAATGTGAGGTAAATGACCATGCTCAAACTTAAAAAAAAGAAATAGTCCATGTCTTTACACCCTTGGGCCATATCAAGAATATACATGAATAAATAATTTTAGGGGAGACAAAACTTAGAGAAGATATTTCTTTAAAGAAAGCTGTTGATTCCCTGCCGCACACTTCCTTCATCTCAATCCCGAGAGGGCTTCATAGTCACTTCGAAATGTGGAATACACATGGGAGTCATGGGAGCTGACTTGGTTCAAGACATCCAAATTCTGCAGGGCAAAAAGGGTGAAAATAATAACTTTGAAAGTGATTTGCATTCTCAGGGACTTTCATTGCTAGAGGTGAAGGCATACTTCCAGAGACTTAGAAAGGAATCAAACCAACCATTCAGAATCAGAGTAGAATTCCTGAATCCTGGCAAAGGAATTGCCAAGAGAGAAGTCTCTAAAGATGGACCTCTTTAAAAGACCTAAGAAATTCCAGAAGAGGAACTGTAGGCTTCAAATATCCAGCAAGCCATTAATGCAAGAAAAATTACGGGGATGAGGTAAAATTGCTTTTTACACACTTTACCTATCTTGCTATCCTCCTCTACCATCCACAGCCCTCACCAACTACCTGTCTTATTTTCTTCAACTTTAGCCAAGGTCTATAATACTGGCTAGCAAGATGTAGGGGAGTGGAGCAGAGGGGAGCTTTAATCTCCTAAGGTTCCCAAGGCAGGCAGTACTTTTTATAAATCATAGCTTGGAGGGTGTTGGAAATTCTAATTTTGAGTGGAAATAAAAACACTTGAGTAATAGCCAAGGTACATTTACAACTGGAGAAATGCCTACTAAGAAGGAGCAAAAGTTCATGGGATCTGGCTAAATTCATATTAATGGATAGAGAAGATTATCTTCACTGAACAAGTTTCAAAACATCAGTTAAAGACAGATATAAGTTGTTTTGTTGATCTCATCAAAATAAGCAGGTATTTGAACATGCTAGTAATAAGTAATTTTGCTATCCCTATTATTCTTTTGGAATTTATAGCATTTTTTCTCCCTTTCAATCCATTTTCCAGGAAGCTGCTATATTTTTTAAAGCTAAATTCAGATTATGACAATCCTCTGCTTAAAAACCTCCAATTACCTTTTAATACCTTTATAATAAAATTTAATCTCCTGAACATAGCTTATAGGAGCCATGCTTTGAGTCCATTCCAATTCAGTTACCACATTTCCTCCTGTTCATCTTCCTCACCCTTATTCTTCAACCATATTGCTTTACTTTTTCTTCTTGGAACATATCATGCTAATTCTTACTCTGGAGTTCTGTTGCTACAACCTGATGTTCTGGACATGAACATTCTTACGGCTGTTTCCTTAGACACTCAGGTCTTAGCACAGATCTTCCCTCTACAGTGAAGTCTTCCCTGACCTCATAATTTAAATCAGACTATTTACACCTGCTCTACTGTGGCCTATTCTGTCATTTTCTATTTCACAAACTAGTTTTATTTTCTTCATGATTTATTTTATGTGAGATTATTTATTGATTTGTTTAATTATTTTGATCTCGGGCTTATAATAAGATCACAAACTGCATGATAGTAGTGAATAGGTTAATTTTGTTTAACAATGATTCCACCAGGACATAGTATATACATTATAAATTTGTGGAATAAAGAAGTGAAAACAAAATTACAATTCTTTGAACACTAAATTATCATAGTGAATATGTTGAATTTTGTTTTAAAATAGTTTGAGTGTAATTTTAAGAAAAAATTATACAGGAAACTTATAATTTTTCCTGATACCATAGATTTATGGCATATATATATATATATATATATCTTGACAAAATGCAAAAAATAAAATATTACTTTATTTTTACATAGTGTTATACATTTAACTCTTTTCCAATAAAGTAAACTTTTGTTTATTCAAAGTGGTTTGACAATAAAAAAACTCTACCTGGAATACTTTGATTCTCCAATATGAAATATTACAATTAAGTGTCATCGTGTAGAATAGACCTTAATAAATACTGCCTCTAAAATTAGATTTTTAAAAAATCAATTTAGCACTGTGTGTGGGCTATTCAGTTGTTTTGATGGTGCTGAACGTGAATGTGCTCCAGAATTTTCCTGAACAGCATCCGTCATACTGTAGATTCCCAGGTCCTGGTCTTAAGATCCTCTATGTCTGTCAGGAATAACTAATTCCTACTTTGTACCTTACAATGAGTAAATAGTTATTATGGGATTCGAAGGGTGAGGGAGTATGAGGGGAATAAGTCTTGATAGTGATAGAGGAGCAAGGAGGGGAGAACTGACTTCCACGGTTCCAGTCTTCACAATCAAAATGCTGCCTGACACTGATACTAACAAAATATTCTAGAAATAAAGATAAATAACTCTTGTGGCAGCCTGAGTGGCAATTGAACAGTTCTCCGAATGCAGGCGATGGGATGGATTAGGAAAATTAGAAATTATAAGAAATAATAAGAAATAAAGACTAAAACTCAAATATAGGTGAAAAGGGGTGGGGGAAGATTGTTGGGCATATCAGCCTTGGTGTTGATCTGATCTCTAATAAAGAGTGAGTCTGCATGTTTATTTTATAGGCAAACATCAAAAGGATTTATTGTGAGAAAAGCCTTCTTCAAGATAAACAAAACTGATGCTGTGGGGGAAATAGCCTAATTGGTGGCTTGAACCAATGAATTCTGGGAGACACAGAATTCTCTTTGAGCAGGGCATCACCAGGCAACTGAGCTCAGAAAGTCATAGCTTCTGCCTTGAGTTGGTTCAGACAAATCTATAATTCATTTGCCACTTCCAACAAGTGATTTATCATAGAAAAATCTCTGGATAGGTTGATAGAAATTATTTACTTTCAGTGTTCCACCCCTCCCCCAAGCCTGCAAACTTTCAAACTTTTGGTAATCTACAGTGTAACTGGAAGCATAAGATCTCCCTATGCCTAGCAAGCAATCAAGTGGATTTGTTTTTTACTTTAGTTAAATGCTAATCTCATATGTCACCACATGTTTACAAATGTATTATTTATTTCACTCAAATAATGTGAAGGAAATATTATAAAACATGATACAGTGCTCTTTATCACTTCATCTTTCTTATTATTTATTTAAGGCGTGATCTCATTTCATCTTATATAAAAATGGGAGAAAGATAAGCACCAACTTCCAATGTGATTTTGAGTGAGTATCAAATGGGATAATGTGAGCCAAAGAGTTTTATTTCTACAGGATATTGTACTTATATTTAATATATTTCTTATTTCTACAGCATTCCCATTTTTTAAAAAATTTCCACTAAAAATGAGATTGTTAGGTGAAAAAATAATTCTTATTTATCTTTGGAGATTCGAGTTTTAGGCTCTGTCAGGGCTACACAATTCTTTCTAGGCTACCTTGAAGCACCTTAAGCATACTGCACACCTGCTAATGGACCCATTGCAATGGCTTAACCCAACCTTGACCCTGGAATCTTTTCAAATGTCTAGATTCTCCCAAACATTTAGTATCCTTGCAAGTCTGCTCAGAAATATTAATAAAAGACTTTGGTAACTTGAATCTCAATTCTAGTTCAAAGTTCCCTTCTCCTCTACCAGGAAGTCCACCCCAACAATGAGACAGAAACAAGATAATCTTAGGGGAGATCAGAGTTTGTCTTCCCTATAGGAAGATACGATTCAGGACATTTTTCTGTACAGAATAAATGGCTGGCAAAACTGAGATATCTAATAATCAGGAATTCCTCAGCTTGAAAGAGAATAACTAAGAGTGTTAAGGAAGTTCAGAGTAAATCAGAAGTGTACCATTCAAATGGACCATGAATACGATTTTTCTGCAAATGCCTGAATAGGGAATGATTATAACACTAAATCCATTTTGGCATAAATCTTATTTTTGTAGTATTCTTTCTTGTGTTAGTTTTATGCATTAAGTTGAGAAAACTCCTCTATGCCAGGATATAATGTATAGCAATAATTTTGAATAACCTATGTAAGGCATGAATTACATGATAACCTCTATTTTAGCATGACTTCCTTTTTTTTTTCTTTTTCGTGGTATAGTGGCTCACTATCTTGATATCAGTTATTGATAAGGAATCTATGTAATTTGGATATATTTAAATGACTTCACTATACTTTGGTTCCACTTTTTTTTCTTTGAAGCAAAGATACACAAATAGGTCTCAAATACTCTTATGTTTTAAAGTGTGTGAGATGAAGCTCAAGGACTTGAAGGAAAGTAAAAGAGAATATGGGGTTATTTGGTTAGGGTATAATAATAAAAGTAGGAAGGTTTTCTGATTTTCAACATTTGAGTTGCAGTAAAAAGAATTTTGATGTGCTACTTCAGTTTTCAGTAGCAAATACATGCATACATGGTGGCGCTTTTAAAGTACATGTATGCATTTTCTTTCCATAGAAAGTTAGTTGAAAACAATTCTACCTATAAAAGGCCATAATGTCTCACAGAAGCATAGTATATGCCATCACCAGAGTAGGACACAGAAGAAATCTTTCCCAGAAGTAAGTCAAAGCAGAAGACCTGTGCTGTTTGGTCACTTAAAATTATGAGGAAAAGAATTTGGTGGAAAAAAAAGGTAAGTACTCAGTGAGATATTTGTTACATAATGTTTCTGTTTTTTTGTCAAATGTTATTTCACATTTTGGGATCTGTTGAAGATGAGCTCTCAGTATCCTTTGACAAAATCTGGGGCACTCTGTCAGATACAGCACAATTGCAGTGCCCCCAAATATTTATTGGAGTCTACATAGAATTAAAACCCTCATAAATTCCTCTGTGTATTATTTAGTGCCTTAAGTCCACTTGCCACTATTATCAAGAAACAGAGGCTGGGCACGGTGGTGCACGCCTGTAATCCTAGTGGGCCTGGAGACTGAGGCAGGAGGATTGTTCAAAGCCAGCCTCAGCAAAAATGAGGCACAAAGCAACTCAGTGAGACCCGGTCTCTAAATAAAATACAAAATGGGCTGGGGATGTGGCTCAGTGGTCGAGTGCCCCTGAGCTCAATCCCCAGTACTAAAAAAAAACAAAAAAAACAAGAGGAAGAAACAGAGTTGTTTATTAAAAGATGCATTCACCTATTGAAGGGCATCTAGGTTGGTTCCACAGTCTAGCTATTGTGAATTGTGCTGCTATGAACATTGATGAAGCTGTACCTCTACAGTATGCTCTTTTTAGGTCTTTGGGGAATGAGAGAGAAGATGGGAGGGGAGGGAGGGGAGGGGGGATAGGAAGGGGATAGGAAAGGCAGCAGAATACAACAGACGCTTATATGGCAGTATGTATAAAAATTGATGTGTAACCAATGTGATCCTGTAACCTGTACATGTGGTAAAAATGGGAGTTCATAATTCACTTGATTCAAATGTATGAAATATGATATGTCAAGAGCATTGTAATGTTTTGAGCAACCAATAAAAGAAAAGTACATGTATGAAGACACGAATTGCTGTCAACATATTTTATATACAACCAGAGATATGAAAAATGGTGCTGTATATGTGTAATAAGAATTGTAATACATTCTGCTGTCATTTTTTTTAAATCAATTAGAAGAGAAAAAAAGAAATGTATAGATCAAAGAAGAAATAAAGATGTAATTTTAAAAAAGAAAAAAAAAAAGAATTAAAAAAAAAAAAAAGATGCATTCACTCAACTTTTTGTCCCTGTGAGCAAAAACCTGAATGACTTAGTAAAAGTTTATTTAGGTTCAGAGGTTCAGTCCAACAGCTGACTCAGTTGCTCTGGATGTGAGGTGAGGCAGAACATTATGGTGAAAAGGCATGGCAGAGTAGAGGTGCTCAGCTCATGGCATTCAGGAAACAGAGAAAAAGAGAAGGAGTGTGAGTGAACACACGAGAGGAGCAAGGGATAAGAGCATGTTTGCAAGGGCCTGTCCCCAGTGACAACCTACTCCAGCCAGCAGTAGTTCTTTCAAATTATCAGTCCATCAAATGGGTCGATCTACTGATTATATTCCAGCTCTCATAATAATCTATTATTTCACCTTTGAGCATTTCTGTATTATCTTAGATGAGTTTGCGGGACACCTTTTCTCCAAACCATAACAAAAGTTGCTCATAAGAATTGTACTCTTTTTGGATGTGTGAATGTGCTTAAGTAAACTGGAATGCTGACTGGTAAAATCAGGAATTTAACACCATTTCATTTTCATTTTTCTCTCCTTTCCTTGCTCAGGTGATGATTTCCTGCACAACACGCTGCAGTATTCGTGATTCTC